TCTCTCTCTCTCTATCTGTGTCTGTGTGTGTCTCTCTCTCTCTCTCTCTCTGTCTGCGTGTGTCTCTCTCTCTCTATCTGTGTCTGCCTGTGTCTCTCTCTCTCTGTCTGTGTCTGTGAATGCGTGTCTCTCTCTGTCTGTGTCTGTGTCTGCATGTCTCTCTCTCTCTCTATCTGTGTCTGCGTGTCTCTCTCTCTCTGTCTGTGTCTGTGTCTGCGTGTCTCTCTCTCTCTGTCTGTGTCTGTGTGTGTCTCTCTCTCTCTATCTGTGTCTGTGTCTGCGTGTCTCTCTCTCTGTCTGTGTCTGCGTGTCTCTCTCTCTCTCGCTCTGCGTCTGCGTGTGTGTCTCTCTCTCTCGCTCTCTCTCAGCTTCCCTCTCCGCCAAACTCCAGAAGGATGAAGAATATCACAATTTTCCTCCACAACAATTGATGTTTTAAGTACAATCTGCCCTGTCCCAGACCAGCCAGCAGCCTCTGAGTGACAGAACTCTGAGGGATCTGTGATTTGAAGTCTGGGTTTTTTTTTCTCTGTTTCATTTCAAAAAGCACTGTTACATTAAACCTGAAGAAATCAGAACAGAAATTGGTTTTACGAAGCTCTAAGTCCTTGTTCTATCTATAGATACCGTTCTGCTCCAATCTGTGACTGACCTTCCTCCAGAACATCTCTCACCGATTCCTTACATTGTCTCCTGCTCAACGAAAGAGTTTAATTTAGATGTTTGGGATTCTAAATTCTCCAAATATGCAAACAAGAAATGATTGGCCGTTAGCTGGTGGATTCTGGATCATATTCTGCTCTCAGCTGGCCAGTGCCAGTCATTCTGTCCCTCGTGGGGCTTAGATCAAGTCCAGGCTGTTAATCTGAAGCTCCATCTGCCCCCTGAGGTGATTATAAAAGACCCCATGGTACTATTTCAAAGGACAGGAAGTTCAGCCCTCCCAAAGTCCTGGCCAATGTTTATACATCAATTAACAAATAGATACCCTATTTGTAATGTTGTGGTTTCTGGGAGCTTGCTGTGTGCAAGTTAGTTGCCGTGACACTATGGCAGTACAGTGGACATGTTTTGAGATGCCCTGAAGCGATGCTTCAACTTTTGTCCACACACCATGTTTGACTCTGAGGTGCTTCAACATAATTTTTGATATTTATGGTGTACATTCCATGTCTTATACAGCCCGAAGGCAAAACATTTCAAACTGACTATGACAGAGAGGACAATAAAATTGAACTTTTCTCCATACATCTGCTCAAAGCTCACTGATCTTTCAGTGCCAAGAATTGGCCTTGACCAAGTGCTGCAGACTTGGGATGGGGAGGGGGGGGCACAGCCACTCAGTGGTTAGCAATGCTGCCTCATAGCACCAGGGACCCGGGTTCAATTCCACCCTCAGGTGACGGCAAACTCCCCACAGACTCGTTCTCCCTGTGTCTGTGTGGGTTTCCTCCAGGTGCTCCGGTTTCCTCCCACAGTCCAAAGGTATGCAGGCTAGGTGGAGTAACCGTGGGAAATGCAGGGTTGCAGGGATGGGGTAGGGATGTGGGTGGGATGCTCTTCGGAGGGAGAGTGTGGACTCAGTGGGCCGAATGGCCTGCTTCCACACTGTAGGGATTCTGTGACTGGCATACTCTGAGTGCCAGGACTGTGGGACACACTAAAACTTGGCGCAGCCGCTGCAGAGGCTCAATGAGGAAAGGTTATAACCTGAGGCCTTTCAGCCCTCTTACACTGAGGGACTGGGAACTGCGTAGGGCCCTTCTGTTGTATGTCGGAGCTGGAATGGGTTTGTATTTGTAGCCTGCCTTATCACCTTCCTGCCAGCTCCTGACCTTGAAACAAATGATTTATTGTCACTTGTATTTTACAGTAAAAAGCTTCAACTGTCCCCACTATCCGGCACCATTTTGAATATTTTTAAGAATAAAAGGTATAACTGAAAGAGAGTCCATCTTCATTCTGCTGTTTCTGCCATGAGTCCCGACCTGTCTCCCAGTTCACGGGATCAAGTAGCATGCCCATCCTTGGGCCTATTGAGGCCCTAAGGACATCAAATAACAGGCCCTGACATTCCCATACAAAGTGGTGGCGTCAGGCATGAAAGTGCCTGTCAGACGTATTCCATCTGGATCAGACCGTCTCCCTCAATTCCTCCTCTTCTCCTCCACCCCACCAACTCAGGCATCTCAAACTGGGCCCCTCACTCCTGACAGCCAGGCCCCGCCGTTTCCTTGGACTTAACTGAGGTCCAGTCTTCGCAAGCCCCCCAGGGCTGGCTGTAGAGTGGCACTGCTGGGGCTACAAGATTGGTCAGTGGCTGTTTAAGGTGACATCTCACCCCCAGGTTTGATTGGGAAGGTAGGGTTTAAGGGCATTGAGGGGTGCGTGGTCTTTCTCTGAGCCAGGTGACCCCTTGCCAGATGTTCAATGGCTGTGTGGCACGACCACCTTCTCCAGGAGCAATTGAAGTTGGGCAACAAATGGTGACCCAGCCAGCGATGCCCACATTCCATGAATGAATTGGAAGAAGCTTGCCCTTAGTGTAAAGAGATATTTTTTTTTGAAATGAAGGATTTAATTGAGTGTGTGAATGTGGTGACAGGTCATAAAATTTTACAGTACAGAAGGAGACTATTTGACCCATCATGTCTGTGACAGCTCCTGAAAGAGCTATCTCTAGGTAGTCCCACTCTCCAGCCCTACCTCCGTGGCCCTCTAGATTAATCACTTTCAAATATATATCCATCCCTCTTTTGAAACCTCGTATCAAATCTGCCTCCACTGCTCTCCCAGGCAGCCTATTCCAAATCCTAACAACTTTGAGTAAAGAAGTTTCTCCTTGTCTCATTTCTAGCTCTCTTGCTGACAATCTCGAAGTTGTGACCCCCTAGATACCGACATAGCGAGAAGTGGAAACAGAATAACCTCCTTTTACCTGTCAAAATTGTTCATAATTCAAAATTATGAACATATTATCTTATTCATCATGTTAAAACAGTGGGCGATGACCCTGCAGTTTGATGAAAGGTGGTGTTGCCTGTTATGTAGTGCTGTAATGTGTACCTGGAATACTGCCTTTGTCTCCCAGGTGTGCCATGGAACCTGCACTCGTGGTTGTTATCCCTGAACACGGCATTCCTGCAACACCGCAGACTGGTCATCCAGTGTATCCTGAAGGAGTTCAACACTATCAAGGAGGAAGAGTACAGTGATCAGCTCCTCCTGCAGGGTCTACCACTCCTGTTTCAGATCCTGAGAGCCAGCAAGGTAACACCTTACCGTCTGTACAAAGTCCAATGATGGGGGTCATTGTATGGGTGGTAATGTCAAAGGGCTTGTAATGCAGACTAATGTATAGGTGGCATGGGTTCAAACCTCACCATAGCAGTTGGTGGTCTTAAAGTCAACCAAAACTGGAATTTTAATCCTAACGGCTAAATTAATGACAACTTTGTAACCAGTTGTCATAGAGGCCCACCTGATTCACTATTGCCTTAGAATCCCTACAGTGTGGAAACAGGCCATTGGCCCAACAAGTCTACACCAACCCTCAGAGCATCCCACTCGGACCTATCCCCTGACCTTATCCCTGTAGGCCTGCATTACCCATGTATGTGACTGACACAGAATATACATCATAAATATCAAAAATTGTGTTGCAGCACCTCCAGAGTCAAACATGGTGTGTGGAGAAAAGTTGAATTTAATATGGCCAATTCACCTAATGTGCACATCTTTGGACTGTGGGAGGAAACCAGAGCACCTGGAGGAAACCCACGGAGACACGGGGAGAATGTGCAAACTCCACACAGACAGTCACCCGAGGGCAGATTCAAACCCGAGTCCCTCGTGCTGTGAGGCAGCAGTGCTAACCACCGAGCCACCGTGCCGTCCTAGTAACCTAAACTCTTTAGGGAAGACAACTGCTCTCCTTACCTGGTCTGGCCTACGTGTGACTCCAGACTCTTGATGTTGACTCTTAACTGTTCCCTGAAATGGCCTTCAGTTGAGGGGGCAATTAGGGGTGTGCAGCAAGTGCTGCTCCAGCCACGACACCCACATCCCGCATGAGAATCGTTCAGAATTCTAATCTGCAGTCAGGTATAAACCTTACCAGGACCACATTAAAGAATAAACTAATTCCTTTCACCTGATTTCCAAATTATACAGTCACTGCAAGCCAGTCAGTAAAAAGATACACAATGAGAGCTCGCCTTAGTTTGTGGGAAACGAGAACACCATTTGGCCCATCCGTCCTGAGTCAGCTCTTTGCAAAACTATCCAATTAGTTCAACAAACAAAAACAGGAAGTGCTGCAAATACTCAACAGGTCTGACAGCATCGGCAGAGAGAGACAGGGGGAGGGACAGCCAGACAGAGAGAGGAGGAAACAGACGTAGAAAGAGAGAGGGAGAGGGAGAGGGAGAGAGGACAGACTGAATGTTGGGTGGGGAGTGTGTTGCTTGTTGTCTCCCCGTAGGGAAGTTGGTTGCCATTTTGCCCACTTTAACATGAAGAGACCCTCCCTCCTCCCCCACCTCTGGGGTTGGGGAGTGGAATCTTTACAAAGTGAGAGTGGTCTCTCCCATCCCTCAGTAACAGGAAATCCCACCAAAACTGTACACAATATTCCAGGTGCAGTCTCGCTAATGCCTTGTACATTGCGACAATACTTCCCTACTTTTATACTCTATTCTTTTAGCAATAAATAGCAAAATTCCATTTGCCTTCCTTATTATCTGCTGTACCTGTATACCAGGATGGCACATAGTCATACAGCAGGGAAACACACCCTTCAGTCCAACTCGTCCATGCTGACCAAGTTTCCCAAACTAAACAAGTCCCACTTGCCTGCATTTGGCCCATATTCCTCTAAACCTTTCCTGTTCATGCACCTGTCCAAATGTCTTTCAAATGTTGTAACTGTACCTGCACCCACCACTTCCTCTGACAGGTCATTCCACATACAAACCAATCTCAATGTGAAAGTGTTGCTGCTCATGTTCCTTTTAAATCTTTCCCATCTCATCCTAAACCTATACTCCCTTATTTTGGACTCCCCCATCCTTGGAAAAAGACCCCTCAACCTCCTAAGCACCAGTGGAAAACGTCCCAGCCTATCCTTATAAATCAAACCCTCCATTCCTGGCAACATCCTGGTAAATCTCTTCAGAACCTTTTCCAATTTAATAATATCTTTCCTATAGCAGGGTGACCAGATTGTACACGATATTCCAAAAGTGGTCTCACCAGCATCCTGTACAACCTCAACATGATGTCCCAACTCCTATAATCAATGGTCTGCGCAATGAAGGCAAGTGTGTTAAACGGCGCCTTAACCATCCTGTCTGCCTGGGATGCAATTTTCAAATAACAATGTCCCTGAATCCCTAGGTCTCTCCGTTCAACAACTCTATCCAGGGCCCTATCATTTAATGTATAAGTCTTGCCTTGTTCATCTTACCAAAATGCAATACCTCCCATTTATCCAAACTAAACTCCATCTGCCACTCCTCAGTCCATTGACCCAATTGATTGTACTCTTAGATAACCTTCACTTTCCATTACACCGCCAATTTTGGTGTCATCCACAAACTTACTGACCATGCCTCCTAAATTCTCATCCAAGTCGTTTATATAAATGACAAACAACAGCGGACCCAGCACCGATGTCTGCGGAGTACTGCTGGTCACAGGCCTTCAGTCCAACAAACAACCCTGCACCACCATCCTCTATCTCCTACTGTCAAGCTAATTTCGTATCCAAATTCCCTGAATCCCATGTGATCTAACTTTATTAACCTGTCTAGCCTGCAATCCCCAGTCAAAGGCTTTACAAAAGTCCATGTAGACTATGTCTACTATTCTGCCATCATCTATCATTTTGGTCATGTTTCCAAAAATCTCAATCAAATTTGTGAGACAAGTTTGACTACACATTTGCAAGACAAGACTTCCTTCCCTAAATGCCATTAGTTACAGGTTTTTATTAACTGAATTGGCAGGATTTAAACCTGTATCCGCAGATGATTGCTGTGGGCATCTGGATTACTAGTCCAGTGACATTAACTCTAAGCCGCCATCTTCCACTGCTCGTGGGTGCAAACACAGGAGAGAATGGGAATTGGTCTGCATATGGGAATGGGCTACAGACATTTGGATGAAGTTCAGCAAAGATGAAAGTTGGGAGGCTGGTCAGTGGACCATTGGAGCAGCCATTTTGGGGGGATAAGCAGCAGATGAGCTGAGGCAGGACTGGAGCCAGCGTCGTTATGGAGGTAGAAGGAAGCTGACTTGGAGATTGAGTATTAAAGTGTTGTTGGTGCTCAGGATGTGATAAATGCAGCTTGCAATCCTCGTGGTCACGCTGCTTTATTCTGTCTCTTCTGATTACGCTCTAATTTCAGAATGAAGCAATCAGTCAACAGTTGGCAGGGATTTTTGTCCAGTGTTATGGCCCTTACCCAATTCCCAAGTTTACAGAAATCAAACGGAAGCAGATTTCCCGGCTAGGTAAGTTCTGAGTTTGCTATTTGTGTTGCAGTTTGACTCTGCGTTTTGCACTGTAATGCACCCTGTGTTTCAGTTTGTGAGATAACCCTGCGCTTTGTGCTGTAATACTGCCCTGCGTTTTTAGTTGTAATGCACCAAATCCTCCTCCTCCTCCACATGGGAAAAGGGGCAAAGACTTTCTGTGGATAATGCAAAACGTGGATCCTGCTGTGATGTAACGCTCCTCCATACCATGTGATCAGATTAGATGAATCATTAGGATAAAGTTAAATGGGGTCTGGGGCTAAGTTCTTGAGTAAATGGATCCACAGGATTTCAAGGAGTGAATGTATGACCCTACAATTCTGCTATAATTTAACCTTGCATTTTATGTTGTAATACAATCCTGTGTTTGAGTTGTAATGGAACCCTGCATTCTATGTTGTAAGGTAATCCCCTGCGCTTTGTGTTATGATTTAATATTGCATTTTTTGCTTCTGTCCAGATCCTCACTTTCTGAATAACAAGGAGATGTCTGACGTTACGTTTCTCGTGGAGGGGAAACCGTTTTACGCACACAGAGTGTTGCTGTTCACTGCCTCGCCCAGGTAAACCACTCACGTTAAAATGTTGCATGCTGTGGATGGGTGGCTGGAGGAGTGTTTTTTTTTTAAACTGTGTAGGTCACCTGCCCCCAGGGTTTGCAATCACTAGCAACAAGTGACACCAATAAACCTCAGTTCATGGTTAAGTTGACCAAGGGGCTTCACACAATACGACAAAAACATAGGACAGACATCTGACACTGAGCAAGGAGCAGCAAAAACATGGTGGAAAAGGTGACATTCAGGAAGGATTTGATAGAGGAGGGAGCCATGAAAAGGGGGACCCAGTACATTAAAAATGTCCTGGAACCCCTTTAATTGATCAGAGCTGGGCAAGGGTTATAAACATTATTAATGGGAGGAACATGTACAACTCAGCAAGGTAGATGCATCAATTGCACAACTGTAAACAAAATAACCAAAATGTTGGGAGATCCTGGAGGTTGTATCCAATCAGAAAACAGGCTGAGGAGACTGGGGAGGACCTTGATCCCAGTTCAATTATCTCACTTAATCTCAATGGGTAAAGGAATCCCAGTGGATTTCAGAAAGTTTTTATTATTTGCAATCTGCCTGTCCTTCACATAGTCTTCAGTGTAGCTCCAAACGAAAAGCTCTTATAATAAGTAAGAGAGTGATTGTTCTTGAAGGCAGAATTGGCAGAAAGAAAGAAATCAGCCGTAACTAGTTAGTGAATGGATACAGGCTGGGGACCATCTCGGAAATCGATACTGGGACAGTACGTTGATTGGAGTGTCTCAGGGATCAATACTGGGGGAATGAACTGTGTGAAAACATGTTATATCTGGAAATAGTCAAATGGCTCACTGTGCCCCAACAAGATGTAAGAAATTAGCAGATTCCTGCAGTTGGGTGAGGTTCATGTTCCATGCTGGGAACGATTTTCCCATTTAGAAAATCTATCTGCAGGTTGCTCTTCAATCACACACAATCATTGGTTCAAAATACTGGAATTCCTTCCCTAAAGGATTGTGGGTCAACCTACAGCACGTAGACTGCAGAGGTTCAAGAAGGCAGCTCATCACCACCTTCTCAAGGGCAACCAAGGATGGGCAATAGATACTGACCCAGCCAACGACACCCGTGTCCCAAAAGTGAATTAAAAAAAAGCTCCAGTTTCTTTTTTTTAAAAGGTGGCATTTCACCGATTGTGTGTTATTGAAAGCATTGGGCAGAATTCACCCACATTCTGGGTATGGTGTGACTACAGGTAAGGGGAGGGTGGGGTATTGGCAGGTGGGAAAGTGGTGGCAGATATATGTTAGAAAGGGTCCCCGATACATACCTGATGCCAGCTGCGAGGTGACGAATCGCCAATCTGCATGTCCAAGGCCCCAATTAGGAGAAACTTCACCACTAGGAGAGATTTCTCCTGCAGCAGAGTGGCCCCACTCCTCAGGAGCAGAGGCAGCAGCTTAATGGAAGCAGTGCCCCTGTGGGAGTTCAGAGAGTCACTCAACAACCAGGTCATACAGTCATACAGCACAGGAACAGGCCCTTCGGTCCAACTAGTCCATGCTGACTGAGTTTCCCAAACTAAACTTGTCCCATTTGCCTGTGTTTTGCCCATATCCCTGTAAACCTTTCCTATTTGTGTACCCTGTCAAAATGTCTTTTAAACTTTGTAACTGTACCTGCATCCACCACTTCCTCTGGCAGTTTATTCCAGTCACGCACCACCTTCTGTGTGAATAAGTTGCCCCTCGGGTCCCTTTTAAATCTTTCCCTCTCATCTTAAACCTATGCCCTCTAGTTTTGAATTCCCCTATCCTCGGGAAAAGACCTTGGCTATTCACCTTAACCATGCCCCTCACTATTTTATGAACCTCTATAAGGTCACCCCTCAGCCTCCTACGCTCCAGTGAAAAAAGTCCCAGCCTATCCAGCCTCTGCTTAGAACAAAAACCCTCCAGTCCCGGCAACATCCTTGTAAATCTTTTCTGCGACCTCTCCAGTTTATACTAGCCTTCCTACAGCAGGGCAACCAGAACTGCATACAGCACTCCACAGATGGCTTCACCAATGTCCTGTACAACCTCAACAGGACATCCCAACTCCTATACTCGATGCTTTGACCAACAAAGTACTGCCTTCACCACCCAGTCTACCTGTGACATCACTTTCAAGGAACTATGTACCTGAACCCCTAGGTCTCTCTGTTCAATAACAGTCCCCAGGGGGTTCACTGGCAGCAAAGACCCAAGCACCAATGCCTTTGATCAGAGAGCCTTGACAGCTTTGCTTCTCTTAAATAAGAAAAACAGTATTTATCTGCACACCACTCTTCCTCCCACCTGTCCATCGTGGGGCTTTTCGTTAAGGATAACCTGCCAGGAGCCATGTTTGCATTAGCCTTCCTGTGAACCGCTGTCCATCAAACTAACCCAGTCTTATCTGTGTGTCTTTAGGTTTAAGAACCTACTTTCGAGCAGGATGTCCTCGGACAATGCATCCAGTATTTTCATCGAAATTGGCCACATAAAGTACAATATATTTAAGGTAACCAGAACAAGAATAAACAGCTTTGTGCAAAATGCTAAAGCAGGCAGGTAGTAAGCTGAAGGATGGAACGGGGTAACGGAGAGCTACCTGGATCGCTGCACAGAGAGCCAGTATGGACTCAATGAGTTGAATGGCCTCCTTCTGTGTTGTAATAACTGCTCACCTAACATTGGAACAGAGAAGCACGAAGCCTTTCAAGCCTGCCCCACCTTCTAATAAAGTCAGAAGTCACACACCAGGTTATAGTCCAACAGGTTTATTCGAAATTGTAAGCTTTCAGAGTGCTGCTCCTTCACCAGGTGAAGTTATTGGTCGACTCCAAATTCCTATCTGATCCCTTCGCTATCCATCATCTATCAAATTCAGATAAAATACTGCAGATGCTGGAAATCTGAAACAGAGGCAGCTGGAGAAACTCAGCAGGTCTGGCAGCATCTGTGGAGAGAGAAGCAGAGTTACTGTTTTCAGTCTGGTACGATTCTTGAGCCTAAATGTATAACGTTGAAAGGGGGACTGCTGGGCCATGGTGTTTAGTGGGTAGGAGCCAGTTGTATGAAATGCTGCATTTTGTCGGTGAACCAACTTTCAAGAAAAGGATTTGTGTGTAATTTCATACTTCAGCATCTGGTTTGGGCAGCATTTATCGTTTCATTCCTGCTGTTTGATATTTAAAAATTATTTTTTTCCTGCAGATGGTGATGCAGTATCTTTACTACGGTGGTACGGAGACACTGCAGATTAGAAACAGTGATATATTAGAGGTGGGTTGAATTTTGCACTGATTAAATCTGGTTTTCTTTGCTGGGCCCAGGTGAAGCCCAGGCAATCCTGAATTCTCTTTGAAAATAACAACAGGAAGTTTGAAATATCATTACAGGTAGGACAGGGCTGTAATGGGGTTGGGGTCCCCCATTCCGAGAAATCCACAGGAGTCTCTTGGATGCTGTTTTCATGTGACCTTTCCGCACAAATTCGTTCTCTATTCTTGAAAAGAGAGGAGCGTGAACTGGGAACAAGAAGGCCATTTGGCCCTTTGAGCCTGCTGACCATTCAGTATGATCATGGCAGATCTGGCTGTGGTCTCACATTCACTTTACTGCCTGACCCCATTGCCTTGAGCTTATTTGTCTTTCAAAAATCTATCTCACTCAGCGCTGACTATATTCAGTGGATCCCACCTCCACTGCTCTCTGGGGAGGAAGATTGCATAAGCAAATGGCCTTCATTTATCGTCTTAAATGGGAGACTCCTTATTTGTAACTTTTTTGCCTTTTCTTTCTAGACTCCCCCCACCCCACCCCACCCATTAAAAAAAGGAGAAGCATCCTCCCATCATCAACCCTGCCATTCCCTTCGTTTAGTTTGATTGGCTGGTTTGTGATGCAGAGTGACCCCCAACAACACGGGCTCAATTCCTGTCTTGGCTGATGAAGGTCTTGCCATCTCACCTGGGCTTGTGGTGACCCTCAGGTTGAATCTCCACCGGTCATCTCTCTCCCGAATGAGAGAGCAGCCCGATGTCCCTCTGGGACTTTGGAGATGACTACTTACCTCTCAGAATTTTATGCTTCAATAAATTCAGCTCTCATAGTTGTAAAAGCCAATGGGCCCAAGCTGCTCCCAGCAAAATATGGAGACCAAGAAATGTACGCCAGTTCTCCAGATGTGGTCCCACCAATAGCCTGTATAGTTGTAACAAGACTTTCCTACTGTTATAGTCTCCTCCTCCCTCTTCTCCCTACCCCCAACCCCACCACCACCCCAATTCCATAATAAAGCCATTCTGTTTGCCTTCCTGATTTTTTTGTTTCTTGTACCTGCATGTTAACTCTGTGTGTGATTAAATACACCACAACACTCAGATCCTTCTGTATCACAGCGTGCAGCAGTCTCTCCATTTATTTTTCCTGTCAAAGTGGACAATCTGATTTTACCACATGGTGCTCCATCTGCCACATTTGTGCCCACTCACTTCACTCCACGTCCATATGCACCAAGATCTTGACAATATCCAGGCTTCGACTGATTTGTGGCAAGTAAGATTCGTGCCACACAAAAATGTGAGGCAATGGCCATCACCAATGGGAGAGAATCTAACCGTTGTCCCTTGTCATTCAACAGCCCTGCAATTGCTGAATTGACTAGAGACTGACTGGTCTAGCCAAACAGTGGCTACAAGAGCAGGTCAGAGGCTAGGATTCCTGCAGTGGTAACTCACCTTCTGACACTGCCAATATCAGCACATACGCGTGTGTCTGTGTCTGTGTCTGTGTCTGTGTCTGTGTCTGTGTCTCCAACTGTGACCTGTTGCTCAGTGTCAAGCACAATCAAACTTTTATTTCTTTACTACTTTATAGTTTTACTCCCCTCTGGAGCAGTTTAATTTCTAGTCTGAGAATATTTCCTTAATATCCAACTAATGACCAATTGCGTCGTGAGTATTCTTAAATACTGCTACTGAGAATGTACCTCTAATAATTGAACTTTATTCAGGCTGACACTGACATCAAGGTCATGTTTCTGTTCCAGTTATTGTCAGCAGCAAAGTTTTTCCAGCTTGAGGTTTTACAGCGACACTGTGAGCTCCTATGTACGAAAATCATCATTGTTGACAACTGTGTGGAAATGTATAATCACGCCAAGGTGAGCGCAATTCCCCAAACTCCTTTCTCTCTCTCTCTCTCTCTCTCTCGTTCGTGCTCTTGCTCACTCGTTCCTGTGCAGTTGTTCTCTCATTTGCTCGCTCGCTTGACTGCTCTCTCACTCACTCTCTCTCCATCCCAATCTTGTGCTGTTTCTCTTCCTCGCTGTCTCTTGCTCCTTTGCTATTGCTATCACTCTCAGTCATGCTCTTGTGCTCTCTGTCTCTTGCTCTCTTTCTCACGCTGTCAATCTCTTGCCCCCTCTCGTGCTCTCGATTTGTTTTTTCTTTCACTCTGTCTCTCAGTCTCTGACACTCTCTCACTCTTGCTCTTGTTCTCTCATTCAGTCTAACACACTGCTTTCTTTGCACTCTCTCATACACTCTGTTTCCGACTTGTGCTCTATTTGTTTCCCTAGCTCTTGCCTCATCATCACTTGCTCTCTCTAGCTTGTTATCTTTGTCATGTTTTCTCGCTCTCTGCCCTCTTTATCTTGCTCTCACTGTCTTTCTCTCATGTTCTCTCTCATGTTCTCTCCCATGTGCTCTCATTCTTTCTCTCTTGTGTTCTCACTCTCATTTTTGCTTTCTTGCACTCTCCTTTGTCTCTTGCTCCACCTCTGCCTTCGGGAGGTGGTACAATGTCAGGGTAAAGTCAGGCTTTGGCTAATTCTGTGGGGATGAAGGTTTAAATCTGGTCATGGGGGTGGGCAAGAATGTGGAGTTAAGGATGAAATCCGATCTGGCCTGATCTTATGGAATGGTGAAACAAACTATAGGCGCTAACTGGCCCACTCCCAATCTAATTTCTATGTTCTTTTCCGCCCCTTTCCATCTACCTGTCCCTCACCCCCTTCTCTATTGAGAGTAGTGAGATACAGCTGGGTGTCGAAGGCCTACATGTGAAACCTGAAGCTGTGCCTTCAGAGGATGCTGCAGGGATAGTGCCTCAAGAGGTAGAAGTGTGGGGAGCAGGAGGAGAAGCCATTGCAGGGGATTCTCTGCATTGTGAAGTGGTGGAAAAGAGTGCAGTTTCACCGACTTAGATGGAGAAGGCGATGTGGTCAACTGTGTCAAAGGCTGCAGACAGGTTGAGAACGTAATAGTGTGATAGGATGGATTTGGGAGAAGGCCAACACAATCAGGCTTGGGGGTGGGTTGGCAGTTTGCAAAGTTAGTTACCGTTGTCCGGCTCACTGTATTTTGTTTGCCTTTCTGCAGTTTGTTGGAGCTGTTCACCTTTCTGCGTTCTGTGAAGGATACTTCCTGAAGAATATGGTCTGTCTAATGGAGAACGAAGCTTTCAAACAATTACTGTACTCCTCTGTGGAGGAGTCACAGGGACATGATGTACTACATGATTTAGAGACTACACTGGCAGCGAGAATCCAGTCAATACATCTGTCAACCTCAAAGGGATCCATCGTGTGACCCAGGCATATCATTGACTTGTTTGGTTTCAGACATTATTGGTTAAGCTTCGAGTCTGATGAAAAGTAACTGCATCTCGCTAAGAGGTGTAGGAGCGAATGACAGAATCGGGATGGGTTCCATTGCAGCCCTCTGTGCTCTACCTTTTACTCTGTACAAACATATTCCAAGTGTCTCTCCAAGATCCCCCATCGATATCCTTTTAGATTCACAGCCAGCAAAAGCACATTTACTCAGCTCCTGCAGGAGCTATCACTTAACAAGAGTTTGGTGCATCAACAAGGGGTTAGAGCGTGTCCCGGACACCGCAGTGTCTGTCTCTTAACCTGTTTCATATTCACCGTGAAGCCATTGCCTAGAGAGAGGGATGGCGGTCAGGACAAGTCAGGAAGTGTTTGACAGTTTTGCACGTTCTGTGCATGAGGTGGTTTATAAGTGAAGGATGAATATTCAGAAAGTGAAGTGTTTCCTCTGGACCCAGAACCATGCACCAGCCTAGCCCAGCTCAGCAGTAGTTGAGGGAGACAGTGGCACGATGGTAAGGAGCAGTAATCAGGGGCCCAGGCTAATGTTCTACAGTCACCGGTTCAAATCCCACCACGACACCGAGTGGAATGTGGATTCAATCAATTAATAAAAAAAACACTTAATAAATCTGGATTTGAATGTTAGTCTCTGATGGTGAGCATAAAACTATCATCAATTGTTGTAAAAACCTGACTGATTCACTAATTTGCTTTGGGTCCTTACCTGGTTTGGTCTACATGTGACTCCAAACCCACAAGATGACTCTTAACTGCCCTCTGACATGCCCTAGCATTGCCACTCAGTTCAAGGGCAATTAGGGATGGGCAACAAGTACCATTCTTGCTAGTGATACCCACATCACATGAAAAGAATAAGTTCCCGATTCATAGCTCCCAGGAGCTGAGTTGTGGATTCAGCCGTTCGCTTGGTTTGTTTCATTTGTTCAATCTCAGACTGAAGAGCACCTTCTGTTTTGACTGGACTCGAGACATTATTTTTGGAAATGCAGAAACTGCAGCCCAGGGCAGAGCCACTACATGTGTGAAATTAGAGAGTGAGTCTGCTCCATTTGAAATAAAATATTCAGACTCCAATGATCTAATTCTCTTTATCAATAATCCCACAGGAATTCTTTTGATTGTCCTGAATCATTTCTCCCTTCCTGGGGTTCCAAAGGAACAGCCTTCACCTCTACTATCCTCTATAGTTTTAATGCCCATTCCTGCTAAATTATTTTCTGAGGATCCCTTACACTTTCCTATTAACACAGTCATCCCCCATTTAATTTCTCACAGTTGGTTTTAGTACACCCAGTCTTATTACAAAGTGCATAACCTTACACTTTCCCACATTGTATTTCATCTGCTCTCCTAACCTGTCGAAGTCCTTCTGCAGCCTCCCTGCTTCCTCTAGTCTACCTGTCCCTCCAACTACCCTTGTATCATCCATAAACATAGCAACAATATCCTCAGTTCCTTTGTCCAGATCGTTAATATATGGTTTTAAAACAAAAATAGATTTTTGAACAGTAAAGGAACTAAGGTTAGCGGGCAGGTAAGTGGAGCTGAGTCCATGAAATGATCAGCCGTGACCTTGTTGAATAGCGGACCAGGCTTGAGGGGCCAAATGGCCTTTTCCTGCACCTATTTCTTATGTTCTTGTAACTTGAATAGTTGTCCCAACACTGACGACTGTGGAACTCCCCTAGTCACCAGCTGCCATCCTGAAAAAGACCCTTTTATCCCTACTCCCTCCCTTCTGCACATCAGCCAATCTTCTATCAAGTACCCTATCCCTAACACCATGGGCTCTTATTGTATTTAGCAGCCTCCTGTACAACACCTTGTCAAAGGCCTTCTGGAAATCCAAATAGATCGTGTTCACTGGCTCTCCTTTGTCTAACTTGCTTGACACCTCCCCAAAGAATTCCAGCAGATTTGTCAGGCATGACCTCCCCTTGACGAACCAGTGCTGACTCAGCCCTATTTTACTATGTACTTGCAAGTACTCTGCAATCTCATCCTTAATAATGAATTCGAAAATCTTACGAACAATGTAGGCAGTTAGCCTGATTTCAATTTTCCATCTGTGTGCCTCCCTCTCTTCTTAAACAGGGATGTTACATTTACTAGCCTGTTTCTGATAGAAGAATAATCTCCGCCTGACCTAAAACCTGATTCTAAAATGATCTAGTCTTTTTTTCTGTGTGTCATGGTGAAGTTGAACCTTTATCATTTAACATCCCAGATATCCTGCTAAGAATTTCATTTCCAAAAAGATGTGAGATTAAAGTTGTCTTTAGGTCAGGTTTGGAACAGTTAGTTAAAAAGGAACGTTCATTTGCACAGAACTATAAATCACACGTCGATTTGACCTCCATAAAATCCAAATTCCTAATTGATAATATACACATTTACCACAGTCTGCAGGTACAGAAAGTGTTTAGGGAAGCTAATTGCATGGTATAGTTTATTGTCAGGGGGATTGAAAACACAAGTGGGAGCTCATACTTCCAATTCTCCAGCACATCAGTGTGACCACATTTGGAGCACTATGTACAGTATTGGTCTCCTATTTAGAGGGATGTGATTGCAGTGGAAGTAGTTTAAAGGAGGTTTACTAAACTAATACCTGGAATGGACAGGATGTCTTATGAGGAAAGGTTGGACAGGCTAGGCTTGGATCCACTGGAGTTTAGAAGTGAGAGAGGACTTGATTGAAACACTCTTTAAATTTCAAAAATGTACTTTATTCATAAAAATATCTTTGTATACGTCCATAGTCACTACAGTACTCTTGGTTCTGTGCAGTCTTTGCATGTTGGGAACATGGAATTGGGAACATGGAGTTTGACCTTCCTGACAGTTTGAACAAACCCAAAGTGAGTCATAGAATCACGCAGCACATAAACAGACCCTGTCTATGTTGACCAAGTTTCCCAAACTAAACCTGCATTTGGCCCATATTCCTCTAAGCCTTCCCTATTCATGTACCTGCCCAAATATCTTTTAAATGTTGTAACTGTACCTGCACCTACCACTTCCTCTGGCAGTTCATTCTACAAAGAAACCACCCCCTGTGTGAAAACATTGCCCTCAGGTCCCTTTTAAAGCTTCCTCCTCTCACCTTAAAAATACATCCCCTAGTTTTTAACTTCCCCACCTTTAGGAAAAAGACCTTTGCTATTCACCCTATCTATGCCCCTCATGATTTTATAAACCTCTATAAGGTCACCCCTCAATCTCCAGTGAAAAAAGTCCCACCCCATCCAGCCTCTCCTTATAACTCAAACCTTCCAGTCCTGGCAAAATACTGGTAAATCTTTTCTGAAGCTTCTCCAATTCAATAATATCTTTCCTATACCCATCCTATAGTACTCTAAAAGTGGCCTTGCTAACTTCTTGTACTACCTCACCATGACCTCCCAACTCCTGTACTCGATGGTCTGGTCTAAACACCTTCTTAACCATCCTGTCTACCTGTGACGCAACTTTCAAAGAACTATGTACCTGAACCCCCAGGTCTCTTTGTTTGACAACACTCTCTAGGGTGCTATCATTAACTGTATAAGTCCTGCCCTTGTTTGTTTTACCAAAATGCAATACCTCCCATTTATTCAAATTAAACTCCATCTACCACCCCTCAGCCCATTCCCACTAGTTACAGTGTGCCAATCCTCTATTCAAGAGAATGCATTACATCTAACCCAATCTGATGGGCTTTTTGCAGCACATTACCAAATGTCTCTGGAATTCCAGATATATTACAGCTACAGGACCCTCATTACCCACTTTTCTTGTTACATCTTTGAAGAACTCTAGCAAATTAGTGAAATATGATTTACCCTCCTTAAAACCATGCTGAATAGATTGCCTTAACTTTCTCGATACCTCATTACTTCTCCCTTAAATGATGAAGTCCAACAATTCCCAACAAATGACAGATATTAAACTAGTGTCTTTCTGCCTCTCTCCCTTTTTGAAAAAAGATGTTACATTAATATTTTGCCCCAATCTACCAGAATCCAGAAAATTTTGGAATATAATGAATGGAGTTACTATTGGGATGGTTTCAGTATCTCTCCCAACATGAAAATTAAAGCAAAATATTGATTTAGTATCTTCCATTTGTGCTCCCTACGATCAACTTCCCAGTCTTTTCATCTAAAAGACCAATATTCACTTTCCCTACTCTTCCCTTATAGACTGTACTCATCCAGAAGATGACACTGCAGGTAAATTATTGCATTTACCAAGGTGACCATCTGTAACAAAAAAAAACTGACTAATCCTGACTGACTTGTGTGCAAGTCAGATTGTATTTTTTTAGTGGCCAGGTATGATTCCAGTCAGCGGCAACACTGTATTTGTACTTTTAGTTGCCAAAAAACTGCAACTGCCAATTGGCCTCATCTAGACGTACTGTTCCTATGTTTCCTATCATTACCCTCGTAAACAGGAATTCTGCAAAGCTGAATCCCAAGGAATCCAACGAACTGCAAAACGTGAGCATGAGATGAGGCTGGTGCTGGCAATAGTGCTGGGGACTAGTGAACTGTCACAAGTGACGTTTCATTGTTGAGCTATTAAACAAAAGCCCTGTTTATTATCAGGACATAGAAGATCTCATGATATTCTTCAGAAGAAGAGCATGGAGTTCTCCATAGTGTCTGTCTAATATTTATTCCTCAATTAATGGTTCATGAGCTCAATATCATGTTTCTGCTGTGGGAGCTTGCTGTGTGCAATTTGATTACTACATTTCCTACATTAGTGACAACACCTCAAGAGCACTTTATTGGCTGGAAAATACTTTGTGACGTTCTGAGTTTGTGGAAGGGGCTTTTAAATGACAATTGTAATATTGTATTATTTGAAAGCATGAGACTGTAGCTGGAAAGGCTAGTATTTAAAACCTGACAACATTCTGGCAATTAAACCAATGACGTGATCTCCATAGTCTGCAACATTCCAGGGCAAACTGGGTCAACTTTCATCACCCAGACTGCAGCAGTTTCATAAGGCAGCTCACCACCACCTTCTCAAGGGCGATGAGGCTGGGCAATAAATGCTGGTCTGCCAGTGACAAGTGAACAAAACAATTGTTCAGGTACAACAGTGGCATCTACCCGACAATCACCTAGATATATCCTGTACACAAAATCCAACCTGGAAAATTACTGATGATCAAGAGTAGACTGATGGGATGGTAAAGTGGTGGAAGATATCATCAACAGTGCTATCAAGCAGCAGCTGCTCAGCAATAACCTGCTCAGTGACGCCCAGTTTGGGTTCCACCAGGGCCATTCAGCTCCTGACCTCATTACAGCCTTGGTTCAAACATGGACAAAAGAGCTGAATTTCAGAGGGGAGGCGAGAGTGATCACCCTTCAAACCAAAGCAAAATTTGACCAAGTATGCCATAAAGGAATCCCAGCAAGGCTGGAATTAATGGGAATCAGGGGGACATATCTCCACTGACTGGAATCATAACTAACACATAGGGAAATGGTTGTCGTTCTTGAAGGCCAATTATCTTAGCTAGAAGGATATGGGTTATTCAGGGTAGTGTTCATCAAGACCTTCCATCCATCAGAAGTGGGGAAGTTTTGCTGATGCACAATATTCAGCATCATTTGAAATTTCTCTGGTACTGAAGAACACCATTTCTAAATACAGCAACACCTGGTTTGGGTTGAGAAATGACAAGTAGAATTCTCACTGCAAAAGTGCCAGGTAATGACCATCTCCAGTGAGAGAACCCAACCAATGCCACTTGACATTCAATGGCATTACCATTCCTGGATACCCTGTATATCCTGGGGTATTACCATTAACCAATAACTGAAATGAACCAGGCATACAAATATTGTGGCAGCAAGAGCAGGTCAGAGTCTGGGAATTCTGCAGTGATTAGCTCATTTCCTGACTCCCCAAAGCCTCTCTACCATCCATAAGGAGTGTGACAGGATAGTCTCCACTTGCATAGATGAATACAGCTCTAACAACATTCAAGAAGTTTGATGGGACAAATAATCTTGCTTGATTGACATTTCATCTACTACATTAAACATTTGCTGTCTTCACCAACAGTGGCAGTAGTTTGCATCATTTACAAGATGCATAGCAACAACCTATTAGGGTTCCTTAGACATAGCCTTCCAGACCCATGAACTTAACTACATAGAAGAACATGGCATCAAATAAATCAGAATACCATCACCTGTAGGTTCCCTTTTAAACCACACATTTTCCTGGCTTGGTGGCTTACTATCACCTTCTCAAGGGCAGTTATGGATGCAAATAAATACTGGCTTAGCTGCAGTTCACGTGGTTTAGGTATGATCGCGGGAAAGTGAGAGAGAAAGTTTCAGGACCGAGTGACAAAGCTGTAATACTGATATAGTTCCAAATTAGCATGGTGTGTGGCATAGAAGGGAACTTCCAAAGGGTGGGATTCCCTTGTGCTTATCTTTCTAAATGGTAAAGGCTTCAGGTTAGGAAGATGTTGTTGATGGAACCTTGGTAAGTTTCTGCAGTGCATCTTTTGGATAGTACACATTGCTGCTGCTGCCGAGCATCAGTGGTGGAGGGAGTGGAAGCTTGTGGATTTGGTACCAATCCAGCAGGCTGCTTTGTCCTGGATGGTGTCAAGCTTCTTGAGTGTTGCTGGGGCTGCACTTATCCAGGCAAGTGAGGAGTATTCCATCGCACTCCTAACTAGCGCCTTGTAGATGCTGGACAGGATCCTTAAACCAGGAACCAACACACTGGCACAAGACATCACAGAGAACGCCCAACAAGGGGCGGGGTCAGATAGAAGGGGCGGGGCCAATGTGATTGGGCGGGACCACCGTAAGGGGCGGGGTCGTTGTAAAGGGGCGGCGAGGGGGAGGAGCGATGAAGGTTCAGGAGAGGGCGGGGCTTCACCCGGATGTGAGCTGTCGGAAGTCCCTCGTGGTTCAGACACCGGTAACGGAGCACGGTGAGAGGCGGACAGGCCGCGATTGCGGAGAGCTGGCATCGGCCTTCTCCGGGAGAGAAAACCAACTGCTCCTGTTATCATCCCTTTGAGCGTCATGAGCAGCCTCAGGCCTTGTGTGAGCTGGGTCCCCCGCGGTGTGGCCAAGGAAACCCCAGATAAGGTCAGGATTCGGGCGAGAGACTGCTGGGGCCGGCGCTGAGGGAGCGCCGCAGTGTCGGAGGGCCGGCGCTGAGGGAGCGCCGCAGTGTCGGAGG